TGTCTCATCTATGTCCGGGGGTGGTATGCCTAGAACGGCATTCACAGGTCTAGAGTCTACATAACTCGAGACTGAGTCCCTGTGAATGCCGTTCAGGGCCTGTCTGTACGCTGTCGGGTCCAGAGGTTGCTTAATGAACCTCTGGACTTCGTCCGTCAGTTCATATAGATGCCTCCTGACGTGCCTAGGCGAGGGCTCCTCTGCAAGCAGCTGTCTGCTTGGGTGGCCACTTCTGTGGCTCCCGATCAGGAACTGCTTGCAGAGCATTATATTATGCTCCTTAACTGGGAGCATTTGCGCCTCGCCGTGCAAGTGGTGTTCAGGCGACATCAGGAGGCATCCCGTCGCTGTCCTAAGTGCCGTATTTGTACCGTCTGTAGCTTCGTCCACTGCGTCCTACTAGTCCCTGCCAGCCCTGAGTAGGAGAATGCGTAGTGAATGTTGCCCTATGGACGGACAACTTCTGAGATACTTCGCCGACCTAAACGGGGTTAGATCGCCGAAACAACAGCCCTTGGTCGGGTGAAACCCGAGTCATTCCGGTACGTAGAACCGGCTGTCGTGGGAATGTGCCTCAAGACATCGAGTTGTACGGCATTAACTGTCACTTTCAATTGGTTACTGCATTGGCTACTTTTATTAAGATTCTTGTATGCATTTGTCGGTGAGTCCTTGAAGTATTATTTGTGAAAAATCCTTTTTACTGATTTCCCCATTTTAACATATTTTTCTTCCTAAAAATTTCAGTTTGTGCGGCATTAACATAATGTTTTGAAACTGTAGTTGGACCTTTCCGCTAGAATGATATAGACACTTCTCAATCTGGGCGGTCTTCAGTATCTACGTTCTTGATTGCTTCTCTTTGTGTGAACTATTCCGTGGATTTAGTACAACACACTACTCTTATTAGCGTCAAAAACTCTTTTAAGTTTCTAATTATTATTTATTACATTGGCTGTAAGTCATTAAAGCTGTTTATTATTGTGTTTGTCTTTCAATACCAGAGACCGTACCGGTTATGCATTTTATAATAAAAAGCAAAAAATTTAAGTTACTTGCTTTTTATTTTTTTAATGCAAAAAGAAAAGTTAAAATTTGCCTTTTATTTTTTTGAGCAGAAAATAATCAGTAATTGTTGCCTTTTATTTTTTCAGGCAAAAATAAAAGTCAAAGTTCCAAATTAAGTATTCCAGAGTTGTGTATACTCGAATTTAATAGTTTCAAAGCTCTTATGTGGATTCTAATAACTCCGTAATGCACAAATACCAGGGTTAGATCACATCTAAAAATATATGTACTATATGTAAATACAATACATGAAGGCATTTTTTGTTAACGGCATGAGATCTGCACCGATTACTCGATTTTCAAAACTGAGGTTCCGAATTAAAGGGCCTGGCCTCTAAATGTAAAACAAGGTATGAGATTTTTGAAAACTTATTTTCGGAACTTATTGATATAATAATCGATATTTTTATCGATTTTGCTATCGATTTGTTATCGATTTTGCAATAGATATTTTTAGCTATTTTGTTAGCGATATTTTTTTCGATTTTGTTATCGATATGCATCGATTTTGTTATTGATATTTATCGATATTGTTATCGCTATTGTTATCGCTATTCATCGAATTTTTTAACGAAATTTTTATCGATACTTATCGATTTGTGTATCGATATTTATCGATTTTGCAGTCGATATTTATCGAAACTTTTCAGATTTTGTTATCGATATTTATCGATTTTGTTATCGATATTCATCGATTTTTTTTACCGATTTGTTATCGATATTTATTAATTTTGTTATCGACTTTCTAATCGATTTTGCTACCAATGGTACTATCGATGTTGTTGTCGAAACTTTTATCGAATTTGTCATCGATTTTGCTATCGATATTTCTATCGATATTTTGTTGGACGTTATTATCGATTTTGTTGTCGATAGAGTACTAAGAAAATATTAAGATAATGGAAAAACAGAATAGCAACAAAATTATTAAAACAAACAGGGGTAGAGGTAGGTACTTCAGAAACCGTTAATTGGACTTCAGATTAGTCGATTGTACTTCAGAAACCAAAAAATGTACTTCAGATTTGTAAACTGTACATCAGAACCCGAAAAATGTACTTCAGATTAGTGAATTGTTGTTCAGACACCAAAAAATGTACTGAATGAAACCGAAAAATGCACTTCAGATTAGTCAATTGTATTTCAGAAAGCAAAAAGTATACTTCAGAAACCGAAAAATGTACTTCAGAAACCAAAAAATGTACGTCAGATTAGTCAATTGTATTTCAGAAACCACAAAATGTACTTCAGATTTGTAAATTGTACTTCAGAAACATATAACATTTTCGCCAAAAAATGCACTTACCACAAATGAGCGCTCAACCAGGAATATATTTTCCAAATCTATGTAGCTTTCAGTTTTTTCGCAATATTTATTAAAAAAAAAAACACTTATTTGGTAGCTTTGGGAAAATTTTAGTTTGGCATCCCCCGCGTCCTGGGGAGTTCTCCTGATTGCAAATATATATACTTTTAGCCGCAGGAGGCTTATAGTTTTTAAGTTATTTGTTGTTAAAGTTTGTAAATTGAACTAACCTCTCGGCGCTATTTCACACAATAAACACTATATTTATGTAGACACTTCGGCAAAATAGTTGCATTAAAACCCCGCACAATGAAATGTAAACATATTTTTTACATTTATGATGTATTTTTAGTAAATTAAGTAAGTTTTAATAATTTTCACGCACTTATATATGTATACGCACATTGTGAATACAGAACCGTTGATTCAACCATGGTTTCACACTGACATTAGAAGAGTGCAGCCACATCTAAGAAAATAACAATAAAAGAGAATAGTTTTTATCGTACCCATTTTCCTGCTCAGCGTTGAATTAGTAGTAAAGGAGGGTATGGGGTTAAATACCCCCAATATAAAAAAAAAATGACAAGCGCCGCAGGCGAAAATTTTTAATAAAAAATCGCGCGATTTTTTATTAAAAATTTTCATTATTTATCAAATTAACGATGTACGTTTTCTACATTTGTGTACTTTGAACTACAATAACACCAGTAAATATTATTTCCACCCGAAAAAAATAATACCGTTATGATCAGGAGTAAGACCCCTATCGATCCTAATATTATTATTTTTAATAAGAGCAATATATGTACGTATTGTACACTTATACTTCCTAATTATACGCACTTATTTGTGTATTTTTTTAACGTATGGTAGCATACATTTTGTGTTACTGTCAGCCATTGTTATTTCTGCTTGTTTGTGAAATGTGCAAACGTTTGTGAAGACATTTATAAACGCGTTTTACTTAATTAATTAATTAAGAATTGTATATTAAAGTGGAAATCTCAGGCCGGGGTTTTAATGCAACTATTTTGCCGAAGTGTGTACATAAATAAAGTGTTTATTGTGTGAAATAGCGCCGAGAGGTTAGTTCAATTTACAAACTTTAACAACAAATAACTTAAAAACTAGAAGCCTGCTGCGGCTAAAAGTATATATATTTGCAATCAGGAGAACTCCCTCTATCGTTCCATAGCTATCTTAATGCGGAACTCTGGGGATGCCAAACTAAATTGCAGCCGTAGCTTTAATAATATTCATACATACATGGGTTGAAATTACATGCCAACAGGCATATCAACGAAGGATAGTGCATCCGGGTGAAAGGTGGTAGAATGCTGAACGCCTCTACCACAATCGCCGCCGACAACCGTTGTTTTTGCCTCGTCAATAAGACGCTCCAGATAGGAAAGTCTTTGCTCGACTACGCCAGGACCAAACATAACTGGAACTCCAATATTAACCTTCACATATGTTTTTATTTTAGACCAAATTATTTGTATACTAAGCATTGAAATGTTACCAACATGTGCATATTTAAAGAAAGTACTCAATACTCTCGAAAATACTCGATCCTCAAAAGTACTCGATACTTCCCAACACTGGTTTCTGAAATACAATTGACTAGTGTGAAGTATATTTTACCGTTTCTGAAGTACAATTGACTAATCTGAAGTATATTTTTTGGTTTCTGAAGTGCAGTTGACTAACCTAAAGTATATTTTACAGTTTCTGAAGTACAGTTGACTAATTTAAAGTATATTTTACGATATCCGAAGTACGATTGGAAAAGGTGTAGAAGTTGGTTATTTCAATCAATTGATACTTTTTTCCTGCAGGGTACATATGTTCATATGCAAACATGTTTCACCGCTTCTGTTAAATCAACACTATAAATAATAAAAATAAAATATAAGAGCTGCGCGAAAGTTGTTAATAACTTCGCAAATATTCAACTTAAGAACAAATTGGAGAATAAGGTTTGAGAAAATGATTAATCTCAAATGATAAGGAATGTTGAAACTCAACTTGAGAATTATTGGTTTATCAAACGTTGGAAAATATTTTGTCTAGTGTTTGCTGGGTCTATACGAACCCTAGGATGTTGCGAATGTGGAGTTTTAGACATCCGCGGATGCGAATGCGGATGTCAAGTATTTTTATGAAATAATTTAGTTACGTAAAAAGATTAAAAAGGCAGTAATTTTTAATAATGTTGCTTTTATTTACTGATTGATTTTAAAAAATGGAACATTATATTTAATAAAAAGTAGTGTCTTTTCAGGTTACAGCCGGTTTCTTAAAGTGTCGTAAATCGAATCTGCGCCTAAATAACTGCTAGTTCTTTTCGATTGACGCTGCATAAGTTGAGAGGACTTTCAGAAATGTTTTTTTTTTTTTATTGCGGTGCAAGAATAATTTCTTTTCGGAAATTTCATCGGGACTGACAATATCGGGTGTATCCGACTGACTTTTATCTTCACTTGAAGAATCTAGCATCATGGCAAGACCGTTGTTTAAACACTGCTTACAAGCCAAACCAGATGTGTCATGGTTTTCTACAGCTTTTTCCAAGGAATCCTTCATTCCCATTCTTTTGGTGGTTTCAGAATTTGTAAAACCTGTATCGTCGTCAGCGTTTTTCGATTTTAGTTTTTGTAATTCATTTTTTAGCTTTACTCCTGTGACTTGTTTGAAAAATGTGTGCTTCCATATAGCGACTTTTTAATAGGTGGATATGGCAAATAGATTGCTGTTTTGCAGGAATGAAGATTTCGAAGAAAATTCTCTTTTAAAAGTCGTGGTTACCAGCCGAATCGGATTCAAATCTTGTGATTTTGTTAAAAAGGAACCACGTTTTTTATAAGCATTTGAAGTATTGGAATCACGGATGATGAGGGTCTCAGAGCTACTTAGCTCCCGGGTGACTTCTTCAAAAGCTTTACCTATAATGAATAGCATGTAATTAGTTTCCTTATTTGCAGAGCTCGCTGTTCCTAGTTGTAGGCAGTAACAATTAATTACTCACTTTATTTCGCTGCGTGCTAATTAAGACAATTATCACAAAGAAATAAATAAATAAATGTTATTAGGGGTATTCCCGAAGTCTTGCAAAATTCTTGCTCGGTGCACGGTTTGCAAAGCTGTCCCATACGAAAACCGGTTTTTACGGTGCAATCTGTGCACCGTCCATTTGCTTTGCAAGACCCAGAGGATACCCTATTCTTTACGAGCGGAAGACGGCGCACACAGGAGTATTTGCTTAGCAGCACCGGTCAAAATTAATTGGTGTGTTTTTCTGCTAAGTAATTAAAGAAAACACGGAACTTAATCATAATAAGCCGTTGCACAAAAAAAAATAATAATTTCACTTATCTAAGATAAAGAAGGAAAAAACTTGCAATGCATCAAATATTAACAAATCTTTGACAAATAATATTCGATAGTTACTAATACTTACCTAATTAATGGTCAGGCGATTCTCTTTATAGGTTGACGTTAAACATTTCCGCTGGAAATCCCTATGAAATGATCTTGCTCTTTGACTTTAAATAGCAAAAGAAAGGGGACGTAGGTGGGCAGTTTTACCGTTGCATCTCCAAAGAAAAAAATATTGTAAAAAATTTGTCATTTTGCTTGCCAGATATAGGTTTTATCAGTGCACTTGCGAAATGTTCGCATTCGCTAAAGCTCCGCATTGATTATTGCGAATGCGAAAGCGAATGTTAAAATTAATGCGGAAGCTCCGCGGTTGCGAATGCGAATGCGAATATTCGCAACAACCCTGCTATGTACATACGGATGCGAATATCTAACAGCTAACATCCGCGAATGCGGATTTCAAATATTTTTAAGAAACAATTAGAATCTAGCATAATGGCGAGATCGCGGTTTAAACAGCGGTTACAAGCCAAACCAGATCTGTCAGGTTTTCCTAAAGCTGTTTAAAAAGAATTCTTCATTCTCATTCTTTTGGCTGTTTCAGAATTTGAGGAATCTGTAACTTCATCAGCGTTTTTCGATTTTAGTTTTTGTAAATCATTTTTAATACTTTCTTCTGCGACTGGTTTGAAAAATTTGTGCTTATAGCCAGATAAATGGGTGGATATGGAAAATAAATTATTATTTTTCAGGAATGAAAATTTTGAACAATATTCTGTTTTTAAAGTCGTGGCTGCCAGCCGAATCCGATCAGAATATTGTTATTTCTTAAAAAAGCACCCTATTTTTTATAAGCATTTGAATCTCAAATAGTTACGTAATTCTTGTCTTATTAAATGTCAGACCTATAGTTATTTAATTATTTGAGCATCAATTCTCTTTATAGCCAGACGCTGATCATTTCTGCTGGAAATCCCTATTGAAGGAGCTTACTCTAACAGTTTTACCACGGAAGTTTTTAGCCAAGGATTCAATGTATATCCCTATATAAAAAAAATTTGCCCGACAAGTAAACAAACTTACTGTTTTTAAAATGTTTGCTAAAAATAAATTCCCCAAAGATCCCCATTTGAAATGATTGAAATGTATATCGTCGCGTATCAACAAAATGCCAAACCGCGTATGTGAGGTTGCGTAAATTATTTTCTAGAGAGTAAGAACACTCATATTTCAAAATAGTTCTCTTTTTTATAAAGCAATAGCACTTCTGACTAGTATATTTCAGGACGAATGGATAAGGATTGTGCCAAGAGCTTGTGTGGGCAAATTAAATTTTTGGCAGCCAATGTCAGTTACACGGTTTTGCAGAATGACGATACTCGGTTTTGTACTTTAAACGAAGATATGTAACATCAAAACCAGGGTTCGGAGGGAAGAACACTCATATTTCAAAATGGTTCTCTTTTTAATAAAGCAATAGCACTTCTGGCTAGTATATTTCAGGACGAATGGATAAGGATTGAGCCAAGAGCTTGTGTGGCAAATTAAATTTTTGGCAGCCAATGTCAGTCACACGGTTTTGCAGAATGACGATACTCGGTTTTGTACTTTAAACGAAGATATGTAACATCAAAACCAGGGTTCGGATTTACCTCATTTTAGCCCCTCGCTCGCTCGTTAGTNAAATTAAATTTTTGGCAGCCAATGTCAGTCACACGGTTTTGCAGAATGACGATACTCGGTTTTGTACTTTAAACGAAGATATGTAACATCAAAACCAGGGTTCGGATTTACCTCATTTTAGCCCCTCGCTCGCTCGTTAGTTTGCTCTGAGCTTGCCTAACTCACGAGCAACAAACGAGGCTGTTTGCAAACGAGAACTCGTTTAGTACGAGCGCACGCGGTGAGCAGCCAGCGAGCGAGTAAGCAAACGAGGGCAGCGCAAGAGTAGAGCAGCAAGCAAACGAGGACCTCATTAGCTCTGCCTCGCGAGGCCGGCGTTGCGAGCGAGGCACTCATTTGCAGCAGCAGACGAGCGAGGCGAGTAAACGAGCGAGGCAAATGAGGCAAGCAGATTATGGGATAAAAATTGGATCAACTAAGAACTTCGAGTAAAGGATTGTATTCATGCATGCAGATATGTATATACATATGTACATACATATATACACATATGTATATATTTATTTATGTATATATTCTCATGCACAGAAGAATAGATGCGTGCTATTTTGGCCAGTTTTATCTACTAGGTAGGCACATGAGTAGGACATTAGCATTTTCAATTGAATATTCCTGGTTTAGTCCCCATACATATGTATGTATGTAGTATAATACAAACTACTATTTGGGGTGTTAAACAATATTTGATAATTAAGGCTGGTCCACATAGAACTTTCGCGTTGAATTTGCAGTTGGCGTTGGTTTGACAGAACGCACGTTAAAAGTATGCGTTCTACAATGAAGCTTGGCAGAGACTACTTTGGCCACTAAATTAACATATTAACGAGAGATAAATTAATATTTTATATCAATAATTGCAT